ACTTTGATACTAATCAGATAATAATTGTTGATATTGTGATGTTGATCAAATTGTTCTTGTGTTATTTTCAAAGGGGGTGTACTCATTTATGATAAGCACTGTATATGTTTCTGCTAAGTAGGCAGAACACAGTCCAGTCGAAAGCAGCACAGGGAGTGACCCATCAGGCAACACAAGTGGCAGCAGAACATCAGGCATCAGAGGCAGAGCGTCAGGCATCAGAGGCAGAGCGTCAGGCATCAGAGGCAGGGTGACAGGGTGTGCAGCAGCAGAGCAGCACTGAGATCAGTTCAGGGACCTGTGGAAAGACAAACAACAGGTGGTTTTGATTAGAAAGATCCATTATGTCTCAACTGAAACCTGTTAAATGGCACAATTGGAACAATAATGACTTCTTTGTTGTATAAAAAAGTTGCATAAAATATTGTTCTCTGATGCTCATTATTAAATGACTGCACATTGATTTTGTTCTTACTCTCAGATTCTGTAACGGTTGTACATGACACTGCCAGACAGGTTCATTAGTGCTGCACAGACATGCACAATCCTATCCATCATGGCCTCTTCTCTCTTCTGTCTCTCACCCTGCAGTCTCTTCACCAGGCGCAGAGGAAGTGGGCCATCCAGAATGTGGTACCGGCTCTTCAGGGCCCCAATGACTCTCTCTGCAGACCACAGATCGCAACATCTTCGGCTGACAGTTGTTTTCGGCCCCTCGTGAAAGACGGTGTGATGAGCTGTGCACCCAGAACAGCAAAGTCATCCTTCAAAGTGCAGCCCCTGTCGGCTAAAATCTGAAATAAACATCACAAATACTTAAAAACACTACTTTACTTCAACAGCAACTCAAAAATGGTAACTATGGGTAAATAATAAATTCACAAATAAGACTTAAATTAGAAACAAAAAAACAGTTCAATTGTTACCTGATCTCCTGCATGGTGGAACTTCTGAGATAAGAAGTCTGAGTTCCTTACAATATGCACATCTGAAGCCCTCCCTGCCCAGCCTTTGGAGAGATATGTGATTGAGCCAGATGGGTGACATGCAATGAAATACTTCACTGTTGTCCAGTTTTTGTATTTTGAGTAGGTGATAGCTCTGTGAGAAGAGACAGTCGTTAGTAATACTTATCTATAAATTGTGTACATATACACAGACAGCCAGGTAAGTATTACAAAAACCCGACACTTTATGCATGCTATCAAAAAGAAAAATATCTCACCTTGTTTTCAGCTTCTTTGAGTGTTCAATTCTGATCTCAAAGCAGTCGATAATTGCAGTCACTCTAGGGTACTGGAAAAGAACCTCTGCTGGTACTGTGCTTCTGATACACTCTCTATCAGGCCATTTAATCAAAAAAGAAATGTTGGCGTACATCAAATCCAACCATCGGGAGAATACATCCAGGAAAGTGCTATGTGCCAGGTCAAATATTCCACACATCATATCGGTTGAGGGGTTCTGCCGCAGTTTCACCAGAGTAATAAAGAGCTGGTCTTGTGTTGACATCTTGGATGTTCTCTGTGACTTAACAAACTGTACCAGGTACTGATGAAGAGTGTCAAATACTGTCCATGACAGGCCTGTCATGACTTTACATTTAGTGTCATTTTCTCTCAGTGTTTACCGACATTTTCAACGTCTCCAATTCTCTGATGGCTTCAGCTCGCTCCTTCTCTTTCTCTTCTTAAATTATACAATTCTTCATAAAGTTGTTTTCTCTCTAACTCCTGAAGATGTATGGGAGCTTCTGATGTTGGGGATTCTGGTGCCGGGCCCTCTGATGTTGGGGATTCTGGTTGGGCAGACTGAACACCCTCACGCTTCCTCCTTCTCTCCAGCCTCTGAAGTACTGACCTGGGAGACTTTGTCTTTTTATGTGGGAACAGCGAGGGTGTGTAGTCTGGGTGGGCTATGTCCTCGTTTTTTAAGCCTAGGGCAAGACAGTTCACAAACGAAATGAGAAGGGGATAGAAGGGGGTGAAATACATTTTAACTGCAGAAAGCTCGGAAGCTACCACCAGTGTTGTTAGCATAGCTGTGTTTTTGTATACTCAAGCAAGGTAGCCTGCATAACGTAGTAGTTAGTTAACTTCTCTTAAAACTAGTAATTGAACATTCATGTTAACTACGAAACAATTGAACACTTATTGTGTGAATAACGTTGTCATACCTGTAATGAAGTGCTGACTACAGACGTACACATGTTTGGATTTTGGATCCCACAGGTGGCCTAACTCATCCTCCCGACGGATCGCTTGAAGCCACCGGGTTCTTCTCCTGGGCTCTGTGCTCCCGTTGGGCAAAATATAAAATTTTAGATTTGGATTTTTAAGCTTGTTAGTTGTACAAAAGGGCACACTGCAGCTCCTGGGCATTGTGGAAGCCGGTTTGTTTTCCCCCTCGGCGCGAACCGGATGTGACGTTTTGTGGGCGTTCCCTCGCTTGCCGATTGTGTCACAGAGGAGAGGTACGTACCTGTCAGCCAATAAAACACGTTTATTTCCATGCAACTCTGATTGGTCTGGTGGCGTTGTCTTGCCTCTGTGTTGCATTCACTGAACATGGGAAATTACAATTCTACCGTCCGTCCTATAGGTAAAGTAGGTTAATGTATTATATTATTGAGGGAGAATTTGTCCGGGGCTAAAGAAAAAACATCCGGGGCTAAAGCCCCGGATGCCTACCCCAGGCGACGCCCCTGGGGACAACAACCTTGCATTGTGCAAAGAAAAGTGTGCTTATGCCACACACCTCTCTGACAGTTTAAGTTTCACTTTCCTTTCCTCAGAAAAGTATCCTACATTATTGTATTCTATTCTCCTCTATCATTTTGCAGCTGTTATTCACCACGTAGCCTATACAGCAGCGGTTATCATGCAGAATCTAACTGAAGAAAAAACAAGGTAAATGCCTATGTTGACGCAATATAGGTTGTAGGCTAAGTAAACGGAGCAAAGTTCAGTTTCACAACAGGTGGCGGTTAGGATGAAACTTAATTACCTACCGTTTTTTACTTTCTTCTGTTTGGTTTGTGTCCTTTAGGCTATCTATTTGCCACCAACTTTCTTAATTTCGTTCAAGCCTGCGGGTAGACGGGATATTCCAGAAAGCAAACGTGTGTTAGCTAGTTTAGTGTTAGCTAATTGTTCAAGTTATCTTCTAAGTGTGGAAATGACGTTACAGTGTTTGTATGGACAAACAATACTTCTCCCATTTTCACAAGACATAACTTCCTTACAATCTGACGATACAGTTGCATTTTTAACACATTGAAAAATACTATGTGTCCGTTTTGGGATAGTGATCTATCTCGCAGGATCTGATAGAGAAGTTATGTCAACATGTTTAACTGACGTTCGCAAATGCCCTGGCTCAGTAACTTTTGTAACAGTAATGTTTCTTAGCACCGTAAATATTTGATGTTTGACAAATAAAATAGACACATTATTAGACTGTGCCCACCTGGAGACAGGAAGCGTACAGGCTACCCTTGTTTATCAGGGGCGGACTGCCCGGTCAGACGATGTGGGCCGGTCGGATAAGTCACTAGGCTTGTTTGAGACGCGTTGCGGCTCGCCTCGAAAGTAGACGAGAATAGCCGATCGCAGCCGGGGGAGGTCTCAAAAAGCTCGCCTGAAGTCGGACAGCTCGGAGTCCATGCTCGGAGTCGGCTTCGTCTTCTTCTTCTTCTCTCGGTTTTTTGGCGGATTGCAAACAACTTTAAGGTGCATACCGCCACCTCCGGAGTCGGCTTGACTCGGTTTGCATTTATAAAGAATGCACACATGTGTTTAATCGTTAATGTCAGATATGTACTAAGTAAATACATTTGTTCCTGCTCCAGATTAGATTCAACTTTATTGTTATTGCACATATTACAGGTACTGAGACAACGAAATGCAGTTTAGCTTCTAACCAGGTGCAACAAGCAGTAAAGTGAAAAGTAATGTACACAATCTACAGAATAACATATAGAATGAATTGAATGATGAATAAACAGTGAGGGCTATGAATACACTAGATATACACAGCAGCCTGAGAGCAGTATGAACAGTGTGTATGAATATGCTAAGATATATAAAGTATGAAAACGGTAAGCAGTGCAAGTATAGTATAAAATATATAGATATTCATTTCATGATGATAAATATTGTGGAACAATGATGAAAAATGTGAATGGAAGTGGCGACGTAAAACTGACACAAAACAACAACAACATTTTGCCAGCCAATTGGAGAGTTTCATCACCAGCACGTGGTAAAAACCACCAATGAGCGCTCAGCTCGAGATACCAGCGAGCCGTTTCCCATCAAGCATTTCGCTTCCGCAGCCCGTGGAGAGCAACTGCGCCAACTCACCTCGCCTCGCTCTCAAGGCTGCGGGCGTCTTTGTCCCGCGAAATTTCAAAGTCTCATGTGGGCGGGCCTCCAGAGCAAGTCGGACAAAATGACTAACCATCATGCAACGCACTAGCAAGACGTTGATCGCAACTGCGCAGGTCTGCGCAGGTCTTGCTTGTCTCAAACAAGCCTACTAGCACACACGGCGGCACCCCGCCCCGTCGACAATTTACTAGCAGTATTTACTTGCGGTATCGAAGTGGGCCGGTCGAGAGTCCCGGGCTGATTTGTAGTCCCAGTCCGCATTGGTGCTGCTTTACGTCAGAAAGCCTACAGTGCATTTTTGCTTTAGAAAACTCGGACAGACACAAACTAATATTTTGCACATTTTGATGAATAGATGTAAAGGAAGTCGGCATTGCTTTTTTAAAACTGCGAAACTAGCTTATTTAAACACATCTGTAAGCGAACTCTCACAACTTGTGCGGTTAATTTAAGTCAAAACCTTATATTTGAAACACAGGGGCTGGATGTTCTGTGTATGTCTGAGACTGTTATGCTGACGTTCTCTATTTTTTTTTATTGAATTAATGTTTTAAAATTAGAAAGGGGAAATTCCTGATTTCAAACTGAGCAATTTCACACTGGATTTTTGAATAATAATCAATGGTAAAATATGTTTGTGTATCCACAATCATTTGAACAGTTTAACTGTTGAACCACAGTTACTGTGGTAAATGGTTTGACGGATGGAGAAAACACATCCATTCATAGTGAACAAATGAGAACCAAGTTTTCTCCATAGCCTATACATATACAGACTGTAACAAAGATTAAGATTGGCGTAATTATCTAAAATATGTTTTACTTAATCCAGTACAGAAAAATAAGTCTTATCAAATCTTGACATACTAGGGAGGAGAGAGAAGATGTGGAAAATCAGAGAGGAAAGGAGGTAGGTTATTAACCTTCTCTCATGCTTTCTTTCACTCATCCATTTATAAGGTTTAACAGATTTTTTCCCACATTAAATTAAACAAATAGTTTGAAGTATATTAATAATTGAGCTAACAGCGCTGTTTACAAAGTTGATGTTGATGACCTGCCGAAGAGGAATATGTGATAGCAAAGCATTGGTTTTCAAATAACATGCATACAAGTTACTCGTAGAAAAATAAATGATCATACAGGAACTTGCAACACCACATGTTATAAGGCACAGATTTTGGCCTGCACAAGGAAGTCGGATTCTATGTATCCTGTTGTGTTTAAGGATTAATGTCGTGTGTGAAATATTTCCGACGCATTTTCCCTTTTGCAATGTTTTACTTTTATTGAGTTCTATTAAAATCACTTTCTTTCAGTAGTGCTCAACTCAAATTTCGTCCCAAAACTCACCGTGACTCAAAATGTTTTAGTAAACTCACTTCAATGCTTTGTCCATTCAAACAATGCTGCTTTTTTTAGATCACATTTTAGGTCACATATGTTTTCCAGTGCTTCTTTGTTTCATATTTTCTTTTAAACTGATGCATGTGATGTTTTCCTCATCAGACCATTCAGCTTTTCATTTGGTTTGGCCCCACTTGAATGTCCACCTCCTGCAGCTAAACCGGCTTTTGCGATTGAGGACGTCAAAAGTCCTTTCACCCTTCGTTCAAACGTCAGTTCAACAAAGAAAAAAGAAAAGAACAAACCTTCATATACATTTCCTGGTAAGATACTAAACAGTTTCACATGAAGAAAGAATGATATACAACTGTGTTCCAGTTTTCCCAAAAGTTTAATGCATGCTTCAAGACGCTCCATGCAAACACCTTACATATTGTGAGCAGAAGTGTCATTAGTGAGTATTCTGTAACCCTAACTTGAACCGGATGAAGACTTATCAACTTTTAAACTCTCCTCAGTACCTCAACCTAAGTTGGAATCTCAATGGAGAGAAATGGAGTGGACAGAAGAGTGAGTAAAACATTCAAAACCAAGTCATGTTTGCAACTTTTTTAGTTATCAACATATTACCTTTATTCCTTTAACTCATGTTCACAGACACTTATCTTTTCAAATGATTCTGAACAGCAAGTATGTCTTCAATATCTTCGAATCTAGGCAAAAGGCGAGTCTGATGAAGACCATCAGCTCCTACAGGCCGAGCTGTCACGAGGGGACTCAGGCTCGAGTTCTCCTCCTGGGTCCGGTCGGTTCTGGAAAGTCCAGCTTCATCAGTTCAGTCCAGTCTGTGTTTAATGGAAGAGTCACCAACCGAGCCATGGTGGGCACCTCTTCCACCAGCTTCACCAAGAAGGTACAAGTGGAGCAATAACTGAGTGGGAACAAAAGAGCTGAAATTCATTGTTGCGTTTCTCAAATTAAGGAAGTATTGAAAAGAGAGCCTCATCTGGCCTTTTGGAAAGGCACTGAATAGCTAGTAAATTCAAGCGGTATCCCAGGGCTTCTCAAACTCCGGACCAAGGTCCGGATCCGGACCGAACTGCAAATCAATCCGGACCGAACCCTGTGTCCTATTATTAAAAAAAAAATTATTATTATTTTAAAAAAATAATTCAAAAAAATAAAATTCTGATTCTGATGTAAATTAAAGTGGACCTATTATGCTATATTGGAAACAATATATTGTAGGGTCTTAACTATACAAAACATGTCTGTGAAGTTTTTTGCTTAAAACACCAAACAGTTCACCCATTTAAGCCATACTGCTCATACCCCTCTTTTGCAGCCCTGTTAGAGAAACCCGAAACCCGGATGTTGGGTCCTTAGCTTAAAAAAAAAAGAAAAGAGGAGGCGGAGCTAATGCCTTTTCAGAATTCTACCGGAGATAAAGTTAAATTCTGTTGTGAGAAAACGCCATCCTGTTCTTATCCACATCAAAGATTATTTCTGAAACAGTATGGAGCTCAAATGCTTTTTCTGTTGCGGGTTTATCACAAGGTGAGTTTTTTTTTTGATTTCCTGCTTTTTAAACACATGTGCTCTCCAGTACAGGTTAGCTCTGAGTGTTAGCGAGGCTTGCTAATATAAACAAAGACGAGATTACGTCCAAAACACGTTAGGCATTGTTTCTGATAGCAACTTTCTGTGGGTCCGCTGCCGATTTGACGTCAGATCGGCAGCAAATCTGTATCCGCTCGTTGTACCCCTGTTTTTAAAAGATTTGGGTACGGAGGAAAAGAGAGAGGGTTTTATTTTCTGACGCTGCGTGAGTTCCCCGACACACCGGGGACACATATTTATGTATAAAATACATCACAAATTGCATTTTGCATGATAGCTCCCCTTTAATGTATATTTTCTTGTGTCTGACGCGTTGTGAGAATGAACGTGCATATATATATATATATTTACTTGTGTGCGCGAGCGTGACATGCATTTAAGTTAACCGCAAGTTTACCTTGACTTTCTAATGCTTCTAATGCCATTTTTGCCGAGGTTCAAGGCATTGGCTACAGACAAAGAGTGCCATTTCTCCCACTAGTACAAGCCATCACACTGTATGTATGTATTGAATGTGTGTGTGTGTGTGTGTGTGTGTGTGTGTGTGTGTGTGTGTGTGTGTGTGTGTGTATACAGGGGCGCCGTTTACCGAGAGGCAAGTGCTTGGACCAGAAGGGGGCCCCCAAATAAAGTAGATTAATCCAATCCAATCCAACTTTATTTATATAGCATTTTAAAACCTCCTGACCAAAGTGCTGTACAGAGAGATACATACAATATAAAACCACACAGCTCAGCTCACAAAACATAAAATTAATTAATTAATTTAAAATAAAAGATACAAACACAAAACAAACCAGAATAAACGTAAACATTTAAAAAATAAGATTAAGAGGGTCCACAGCAACGACAACATGAAAGACCCTTTAATTTACTGCAACGACATGTCGGGAAACCCCCTTAAGGGGGCCCCATGCATAGCACGCCGAAACTGCTTCTTAATTTCCTTTTACTTTACTGGCATTGATCCGGACCATTGACCTTGTATACAATTCACAAGTGGACCTTTAACAAAAAAGTTTGAGTACCCCTGCTATACACTATCCACAAAAAATGAAAAAAAGCCGAACACCATTCAAAGAGACCATCTGTAGTCAAAGTATTGTCAGTAATTTCCCATTGTTAAATAAAAGACAAATGTTATCTCCAATTCATCAACACATTTATATTCAATACCAGTTTCAAGTTTGTTTGTAAAACATCACGAATAAGCAAAAGGAATTAAACGTTAGACAGTCATCTTTACTCAAAGTCCAATTACTAGCTTTCCTGAAGCTTTCAATTTCATGGATTTTGTCTGTGTAAGAGTTTGCCTGGATGTCATAAAGTTGGCCATGACAAGTCCAATTATTACGTATTAGATTTAAATATAGATTAGGACAGACAATATGCGCACACACTCACACAAATACATTTATCAATGGTGAACAAACATTTCTCAAATGTGTTCATCAGAAGTCACTGTTGATGCAAACCTCTGTTCAGCAGCTTGGATGTTCCCATCTTATACAACCATCAAATTAACTTTAGTTTCTCTCTGTCTCAGCTGCAGTCCTTCAACATCCATGGTCAGAAAGGAGAGGATCCTACTGGACTGGTGCTGTGTGATATCGTGGGTTTGGGGGGCGGAGAGATGACTGGACTGACCCTCCATGACATCCTGTCTGTCATTAAAGGTCATGCACCAGAGGGGCACAAAGTAAGCAGGATAAATATGACATGTTCTAGTTCGTAGCTTGCAGCTTTACCCAATGACCGTTGTTTGGTCAAGATGAAAATATCTCACTATTTGTACAGACATTCATAATTTCCCAGAGGATACATCCTTACTCACTTTGTTGATCGTCCGACCTGCGCCACCATGAGGTTAACAGTTGGGTTCATAGAGAAGTAACCGACTCCAACCTAAAACCCATGGTTACCGTAATTATTAACAGCCACGTGAATAACACATCCCGGAACTGAACATGAAGTAGCCCAACACAGACCGTGGTTCAATCTGTATTTGCTTTTGTCTTTGCAAAAACTACCTCAACATGAGTTTTTTGTCTTGTGAAAATGTAACCTCCTCTTTTCTCTCTCACAGTTTAGCCCAGATCAACCAGTGCGGTCTGAGACTGTGGGCTATATAAAGAAGCCAGGTCTCAAAGACAAGATCCATTGTGTTGCCTTTGTGGTAGATGCCTCTAAAATCCTGACCTACCCCAAAGACCTCAGCACCACCTTCAGGCTGCTCCGAAAGCACATCAGTGACCTGGGTAAGTCAGGGACACATTATCAGTCTAATACAAAGACATTTTCAAACACAGATGAACTACCTTTAAAGACAAAATGGGCTTTGACTTTTAATATGAATGTTGTAGAGCTGTACTTCTGTCCCTCTGTCAGTTCCTGTCGAATCTGGATGTTATTTTATCGCACTGCTTTGAAGTTTCACTGACCTTTTATGTATATATTTTGGGGGATTTTGTTGTGGTTACAATTACTGGGCACTGATGTTCATAATAACTTTGGGCTTGAAACCCTCTTTACAGGATTTACTAAACAAAAGCACTGTTGAAATGTCAACTGTCAGTGATTTCTTTCTCTGCAATGTAACAAATTAAAGCCTTTTTTGTAGTGATATCTTATTGACAGCATTGTATTGTCTGCTAGACATTCACCAGGTGGCCCTGCTGACCCAGATAGACCAAATGTGTCCAGAAACGGCCAAAGATGTCACCCAGGTTTACAAGAGCCGCATCATTCAGGACATGGTAGGTTGAAAAAATATGAAATAGACAAAGTATATCCATCATAGAGGAAGGTGTGATCACCATGCAGACTACAAGTGGGGAAGTTTTACCAAAATGAGTGTGTGACCAGTTTAGTTTCCTGTGATCTGTAGCATAATGGAACATTTGACTTTGTGGTGCTTGTTTATAAATATATATCTTTTTTTTTTTTAGGTGCACATCATTAAATTACAAGCTAAAGCAAAGTCATATGACTCATTAATTGCATTAGATTTTTGGACAAAGGGAAAGATCATCATTGATCTGCCATTCAAACATATACATAACATTTAGTTTGGTGAGGTAAGACACATAAAAAGCCAAATTAATGCCTGAAACTATTTTAACATTCTTGTTTGGACCTTTTTATAATTTTGCTATTTTTCAACTGTTAAATTGAGGACTACTTGCCCTGTTTTGATTATTTCTATCTGGCTTCATAATAATTATATAAAAATAACTTTTGTGAGAGTTAAGAACAAACACTCACTCCTTACACACCACAGGGCTTGAGATGATAACTTTTCTCTATTTCAATTTGTCATGGCATTTTTCTCTGCTGAGGGAATAAAAATACAGATGTGGTGTAAATCTTAGTCATGTGTTTGTGTGTGTGTTTGTAGATGAATAAAGCTGGGGATCTGTTGGGTATGTCCACCTCCTACATTGTCCCGGTGAAGAACTACTCATCAGAGCTGGACCTGAACGTGAACAACGATGTGCTTCTGCTTAGAGCTGTGGACCACATCCTGCAGTATACAGACCTGCATTTCCAGGACAATGCACCACAACACACAGGGCCAAAGATCGATTTGGGGATTTAGCGTTTTTTTAAAGCTACAGAATGTTAATGCTTCATGTAATGGATTTGAACCATCATGTACAATATAACAATTTCATCATGTTTTTCTTTAAATAAAATGATCATGGACACAAATTCTGAATATAATCAGAAATGTGTGATGTTTTCATTTGTTAGTGTGATCAGTTCTTTATAAAAAGGTAAATGGGCCTCATGCAACAACAGCATTGTTTTTGAGTGGCACAGAGTGGGTGTAAGTAAGCTTGCAGCAGACAACAGTCCTCCTGTCTTTCTGTAGGTAGAAAGTGTGGGGGAAACTTCTGCAGCAATTGGAGTCAGGACTCAGAGACACGAGGAGAGCTGGAGCTTTGATGGCAAACACTGACGGTTTATTTGGAGCTTCGGCCGGAGAATTCACAAGACATGTCACGGGCCACGGTTTGACCACACGGTTGAGATGCCACAATCAATTCTGAAGAACCCTCCTGTAGCTCAAGGTTTTAACTAGTTCAGAGTGTAATAATCAACATTCTTCAATAGATAGACTAAACAGCTGAGGACACTGAATCACATTTGTTCTCGCTTATGGCTCGAGGTCATCTACACCCAGAGAAGGATGTGTTCCAGGTGTCCCACAACAATAACTATCTCTGACCGAGAGTTGTGCAAAAACGACAGGGATTTCACAACATCAGAAGAGTTTTAAATATACTACATGAGAAACATAACGCAAAGGACACAGCAATGCTTTCAGTGGATGCGTGTCAATTTGATAGGATTGAATGGTCTTATCTTTTTCCAAGATTTGGGTTTGGTAAACCCTTCTGAAATGGATTCAACTGCTATACACAAACCCAACCGTTGAGATCCTAACTAACAACACTATCTCGGCACCAGTGTGTTTTTTCTGTAGCCCACGGTTAATGTAGCATTAACCGTGCTTTACGTGAACCTCATCATGACACAAGAGAGGACGGCAGGACTGTAATTTCCCGTGTTCAGTGAATGCAACAGAGGCAAGACACCAGACCGTTAGACAGTTATATATACAGTCTATGCACCAGACCAATCAGAGAGTTGCATGGAAATAAACGTGTGCTTGTGTCATTCAAGCTCGGCTGTGTGTGTGTGGCAATAGCGCATTTCGTGAGGAGAGAGAGAGAGAGAGGAACAGATGAGAGAGAGAGAGAGAGAGAGCGGAGAGAGAGGAGAGAGA